AAATGTAAACTAAGCTTCCCCTTCTTCTCATCGATCCATCTGTCTATTGATCAGTCGATGGATCAATCAATCAATCAATATGTGTACCTACCTACCTACCGATGGAGACAGGGATAAGTGTCGATGAATATCAGTACAGTGACATAGTGACATACGTGCACCCTTCCTCTTCCTGTAGCCACATACATGTGGCTGCCGTATGCACACAGAGGTCCCTGACCTCGGTTCTCGGTGCGTGGACACTTTGTAGGAAAGGAGGACGTCTATATTTGGAGAGTGTTTCTGTTTCAGGGCAGGAGAGAATCAGCCTGGTTTTGGAAACGACTCTTAGCAGGAATCTTCTAGTTAAAAAAAAAAAACAAAAACAAAAAACCATACACACAGCTGGGCATCAAGGTGCACGCCTGCCATCCCAGCAGCTCGGGAGGCTGAGGCAGGAGGATGGCGAGGTCAAAGCCAGCCTCAGCCCAAGGGAGGCCCTAAGCAGCTCAGGGAGACCCTGTCTCTCAATAAAATGCAAAATAGGGCTGGGGACGGGGCTCAGGGGTCGAGTGTCCCCCGAGTTCAATCCCTAGTACCCAAAATAAAATAAAACCCTGTCCACACACACCCCACACCCACACTTATAGATGCACCCATAAGTACGTATGCAAATGCATTTAATAGTCACGTTTGTGTACGTGCAAACCCATCCATCCAGGTGTGTGTCTATGCACGAGTGGGAGAAATTATAGATATCATGCATCACGATACATCGTACATATTATATAAGATAATTATCTATAATCATCATATAGTCTACATGATCATATAGACATCATATATGTGATATGATAATGAAATATACATCTCAGATACAGTTATATATAATATATAATATATTGTATATATCTATAATACACCGCTCAGATAGAATTATATATAATATGTAATTAGCTACATAATTATGTAGACTTGATACATTTTACATATTATTCACTATAATTATGTGATCGTTATATATTATCTAATCATATTTCATATGTTGCATATTATAATAGGATATATAGCATGCAATTACATACACTGTATAATTACATGTATTATATGATCGTATATTCTTTATGCAGAATGTGCATTATGTATATTGCGTCTTGCATTTTACACGGTCGATTATCACATGTCACACTCATAATCCACCTATAATTCAATGCTTCTGTTATGCGACACTTTTCTGCCCTGTCCCCGCCCCCATGTCTGTGGGTTCTGCGGCCACAGATGGAGCCCACCAAGCACGGATGGAAAATTGTCAATTCCAGCCACCCTAAGTCACCTAGAGGTGGTTTCAAGTGCCCCGGAGGACAGGGGTCCGTGCTGAGCATCCGGGGGCTTCGGCAGCCTCAACAGCGTGCTGAGGCACAGCGCTGCGGCTGAACCGGAGCCTGTCCATCAAGGGCTGCAGACCCCGGAGTGGACCGTGCAGAGCGGGGCCCTGGGTGTCTGTCTCCCGGCCAGCGTCCAGGCGCCTCTCCAGGCCCTTCTCCGACCCGCCCTTTTTAGCCGCGGTTCTGCTCACCAATATTTTTTCCCTCAGGCAGACTTTCTTTGTCTACCCTGCAGGCAACACGGTGGCCCGAATCGTGTCCCCGATCGTGTCTGTGGTGGTGGTCGCCTTGGTGGGGGCCGGGGTCAGCTACTTCAAGTCCAACCAGAGGAGGAATTGCTTTCGGGCCAGTGGTAAGTTCCTTCTCTTGTCCCTCTCATGGTAGGGGAGGGCCGCTGATGGCGAAGGACCAGTCACATGTTTAACTGGCGTCTGTGGGGTCTAGATGGGAGACCACCCACGTGGAGGTCTGCCCCGGCCTCTGGGCCTCCGCGGGCGGCCTCCCTCCGGGAGTTCGTGATGGACTCTAAAACCTGGCCTCGCGCGCCCTCTGCTGGCCGAGACGCGGTACTGACAGTCCCTGAGCCACTCAGGGAGCCCCTGTCTCTCAATAAAACACAAAATAGGGCTGGGGACAGGGGCTCAGGGGGTCTGAGTCCCCCCGAGGTCAATCCCCGGTACTAAAAAATAAGAAAAAAAAAAAGAAGAAAGTTACCCTCCGCGCTTCAGATCTGATGCAAATAAAAAAAAAAAAAAAAAAAGAGGCTCACACAAATATCAGTTTTAACTCAAAAAGCTTTCGCTGAAATCCCCCGAAATGCATTTGGGATGAGGGATGCAGCTTCTCCCCCGGCCCCGACTTGAGACCTTTGGCCCCTTCCCTTCCAGATCCAGAGACGGTGTGAAGCTGCCCAGGTCTTCCCGAGGTCCCCACAAGGACCCCACGACGCCGGGGACTGTCCCGCGGAAAAGCTCTTTTTATATTTCAGTGCATTCCCACCTGCGGAAGGAGGCCAGCTGCCTCCAGAAGGATTCTCTGCCTGTGGCCTCCACCCCGCAGCTGCTGCTGCCTTCACGGGGCGGAGGGGGGGGCCTCCACGGAGGCTGAGCCCGGCTGCGGAGGCCAGGGCGCAGAGGGGTCTCAGGGACAGAGGCTGCGGCCCTAATTACTGACACTGCCCCTTCGCCCCCTGCAAGGGGGCAGGAGGGATTTCCAGGGCCCTGCGTCCCCTGTCTGTCCCCTCCAAATGGGATTTGAGGTTTTAAAATCTAAAGTCACCGGGTGTTAAAATCACCTCGTGGAAATGGGTCTTGCAAGACTTTTTTCTAGAAAATTCTTCTTTCCTTTTTTTATACTGGGAATGCAATCCAGGGGTGCTTTACCACTGAGCTATGTTGCCAGCCTTTTTTTTATTTTTTTTTTTAAATTTTGAGACAGAGTCTTGTTAAATTGCTTAGGGCCTCACTGAGTGGCGGAGGCTGGCCTCCATCTTGCCGTCCTCCAGCTTCAGCCTCCGCCCTTGGTTTATACCTTTGTCTATTCACGGAGGGGGAACCTCCTAGATCCTTCAACATCTAAAGAGTGTCTGAGCCATTCGCTCTATTTTTAGGGACACTTTGAGGGACAGGGCGCGGGAAAAAAATGGCCTTGGGATCCAGTTTGATTCAGGAGAGGTTTGTAATGACGTAAGTTTTTACACTTTGCCCCAAATATCAGAACCAAAGATTCTGGAGGTCATGGCAGGCTGGAACTCGTACAGAGGACCCCCCCCCCAAGTCCCTGGGGTTCACCTTGTCACCTTGGCTGCAGGTCTCCAGAGAGGGGTGAAATAGCCTCGATTTGAAAAAGGACCCCAAATTTGTAACCCTTGTGTCTCAGAATCACGTTTCTCATTTTTTTTCTTTTATTTTTGGTACCAGGGATTGAACTTGGGGCCCCTCGACCCCTGAGCCCCGTCCCCAGCCCTATTTTGCATTTTATTAGGAGACAGGGTCTCCCTGAATTGCTTAGGGCCTCCCTTTGGTGGAGGCTGGCTTTGAACTCACCATCCTCCTGCCTCAGCCTCCCGAGCTGCTGGGATCACAGGCATGAGCCACCCAAGCGTCTCAGGGAGACCCTGTCTCTCAATAAAATACAAAATAGGGCTGGGGACGGGGCTCAGGGGTCGAGGGCCTTTGAGTTCAATCCCTGGTACCAAAAAAGCAACCACCCTGAGATTCGTACCCGCACACCGAGGCGGAATCTAAACATTTTTGATGGACGTCTGCCCCTTTCCATGACTGTCCTAAACCACTTTTAATTCCTTCACGTAAGGGTGGGCGCTGGGGGTGGCCCAGGGACAGGGCGGGCACTTTGCAGGCACCGGGCCCTGAGTGTGAACCTCAGCACGTCCTCCAACTCTCCGATCGACAAATAAATAAATGCCAAAGGAAACTCTTGGCTTTGACCTTGTTGCCCTGTGTTAAGTGTCACCTTAACGAGTCCCTTTCTGGGGTGAGGATCAAGGACTTAGGAACATAGAAAATAGGGTCAGACCGTGACAAGATCAAACCCCGCCCCAGGACCAGAGGGTGAAGCTATTGGGATATATGTTAGATCGC